TATATATATATATATATATATAGAGAGAGAGAGAGAGAGAGAGAGAGAGAGAAGTCCCATAAATGTTTATGACCATGAGATCATGCTTATGTCCACCCTCTGGTGATGAAAATTGTGGAAAGATGGTTTCCATCACTGCTTCATGTTTTATCTACTAAATCGTACAAAATATAAATTCTTCTGTTTTCAGATGCTTGCAGATATATTATTTTACCCTCCCAAAGTATCTCCACTCTTATATATTCTAATTGTAGGTGATTACATCTTTCTTTAAGACTGGGGAAATATATGTGTTTTAGGTCCTAGATTTTGGGATGCTGGGTACAGAGCCTGATACTGTATTCTTATATATATTTTTCTGACAACTAATCTTAATTCATACTTGTTTATGATATAAATTTTTCTTCTGAGTTACATTTTTGAAAACAAAGTACAGAGCAAAATTATGTAATCAGAAAATAGTAAATATTGAAGCAAATTGGTTTTTTTCAGACCTATATTGTGCAGGGATAAGGAAATTAAATCCATCTACTATGCACAACCAGCTGGACTGTGTATGAGTCATGTTCCACAGCTGATAATAGTTAAACTCTTGTTTTCAATTTATGTTTATGTCTTAATAGAGTTTGTATTTGTTGTTGATAATTTTGCTTTTGTTTCCACCCCGTCTTCTTTAGAGTGGATACAATTTTTCATAAAGACAGATTTTTAGTTCATGTTTTGTTTTAAACAGGTTTTACTGCACAAGAAATGTATTTAACTGTTTCACTCATAAATTAATTTTAGAAAACAAATGTCTTCTTTCATTGCTGTAGTTCCATGGTAGTTTGTAATTTCTGTTGTAGAAAGCACTGGGGTGAATTTATCTTCATTTATGTTCCTGTATTTACCCAAACTGAAGAGAACTCCCCAGATAAAATTTTGTACTTAATTTCATACATTTTCTAAAAACAAACACGTGAAAGATATTAGATATTTGAAACATGCATTGTATGTGTTTAGTTGTAATTTTTCTTTGTGGTGAAGTCTCTGTCGTTTACCCTGTTCACTGTCTTCACCATTTGTATCTTCTTTTTACCTTATCTACCTCACAGTTTCCTTCTTTTTCAACAAATTTACTGCCACCTTCATCACTGTTAGCGTGATTTACGTCATTGGGGAACTACTGCTTTTGATTGAAAAGATTCACTGCTAGTTTGGGCAAACTGTCTTCCTTACTATGCTTGCGGTATAATATGGCTCAAATATTCACATACACTACTTTTTAAAAACATTTGTGTCCAGGAAGATTAAAATATTTAGAAGTGTGTTTGCATAGTTTGCACCTGTATACAAGATAAACCTTAATTTTTTATCTGAAATAATCTCTTTGTAGTGCAGCATCAGCATCAGCATAACACCTTTCTAGCATTACATACATCCTACTATTTTGTGTTAAACCAGATATCTTTGATTATACAAATATGTTGATACATTAATACACTGTTTTTTCATGATGCTCGTGATATAATAAATTGCTGTAGTAGAGAAGACATTGATTGTATATTCATTTACAGTCACTGTGTAAGTATGCTTTGTATGGAGAGAGTTTCAGAAATTGCTGCAATCAGTAAATGTATATGTGACTCTTGGATTGTTCTATAGTGCCACAACATCCATCAACTCACTAGCAACAGATTCTGGACCAACAATGGCACAGGCTCCAGACTCACTTGACATGAAAATTGAATGTTTGCTGCGAGACTGGCATCATAGCCCTGATCTCCTGTTTTCAATTCATCCCATAGATGGCAGTTTCTTAATTTGGTATGTCATGTGTATGTAGCAAGAGTGGAAAATGTAGTTAAGAGTAGAGTACACTATTAACAAATGTGTTCTTTGCAATTGTATGTATCTTAAATGACACTGATATTTATGTTGTTACAAATCTTATAGTGGACAATTAAAATGTGTTTAATTGCATCATTAATTGTATAATCTCACTGATATAAATCATGTGTGATACTATCTGATTTTACATCAGCTTTCTTCTTTATACAATTTTTTGTTTTATCCAGTTGTCATTCATATGATATAATGTTTAAATCTTCAAGAAATATCATGCATGTATTGATTCACTCAATATATTTTTAATGAAGTATATGTCAGTATTAATTACTGTTTACTTTCATCCAGTCCCGCGCCGTAGTCGCGCGGTCTGAGGCATCATGCTTTGGACCGGCGATACGGAATGCGTGCTGGTTCGAGTCACGGGGGAGAAGAAATTTTCTCATGAGCTTTCGACCAATGTATGGGACCGGTGTCAACCCAGCATCGTGAGGAAATTGGGGAGCTACGATAAGTAGCGTAATCCGGTCAGGAAAACTAGCAATGGCTGGGGGTTCGTCGTACTGACCACACGTCACCCTATATCTCGTTGGATGATCGTTCACCTCTGCTTAGGCATGTGAACGTGAGGCCAGCAGTGAAGCTAGTTGGCTTTGGCTCTCTGGAGCTGTTACGCCACGGATTTTTTTTTATTTTTTACTTTCATCCAGTAACTTATCACTTCTGTCATAATCTTGCATCCACATCAAAAATACATATTTTCTCCAATGGACAGAACAAAATGTTCTTCATATGTACGTACGTGCATGCATGCTTGTGCTCACACAAATGCCAGCGCTCGTGCCTGTGCCCACACTCACGCATATGCATTTATAAATATAGAAGTCTGTGACTTAAATCTTCTTTAATGTTGGTACAGGCATACCTCGGAGATATTGCGGGTTCGGTTCCAGACCACTGCAATAAATCGAGTCTCACAAATGTTTTGGTTTCCCAGTGCATATAAAAGTTGTTTACACTATACTGTAGTCTATTAATTGTGCAATAGCATTATGTCTAAAAACAATGCGTGAACATTGCGAGAATTACCAAAATTTGGCACAGAGACACGAAGTGAGCACATGCTGTTGGAAAAATGGCACCGGTAGACTTGTGTGATGCAGGGTTGTCACAAACCTTCAATTTGTAAAAAACGTGATATCAGCAAAGTGCAATAAAACGAGGTATGCCTGTATTAATACTTTTCTTTAGTGTATTGAAAACTTGTTTCTTATGTTAATGACAGGGTTGTTGAATGGCTGGATGAATATCACCCAGGATCATTCCGTCAAGCTCAAGTATCTTTCTCGACTCGCATTCCCAGTGCATTCCCTCTGGGGGATGCAATGACAATGTCCACAAATGTGTGTCTTTACAATGCATATGGTTGTCACCTCAACTATCGTGATGTTTTGAAACCTCCAGCATCGAACAAGGGTCCAGTAAATGGACCTGTAAATGATTTAGAACCTTCCACTCCCTTGCCAAGTGTAATAGAAGAGGAATCAGATTTGAATTTGAATGTCCCTGTCATGGAGATAACGCAGCAGACACCAAATTTGAAAGTATCAAGTCCCAAACATGGAGGTATGTTTCAGCTGAATTTATTCAAAGTATGGCTTCTTATGAATGTTTGCAGTGTAGACATTTTAAACATCATAGTTGATTGCATGTGTTATAAAGTGAAAACTACTTATTTGACACCATTATTTTCATAAATATTTTTCAAAATGAAAGTTGTATCAGAAGCCAGGGTACATGAGAACACAATGCAACAATACCTCTAACTCATTCTTTTGGGCATTTATTTGTGTCTCCATACACTTCCACGTATTACTACACTGTTGCTTGTGATTGGCAATGTTTATTCTGAATAAAATTACAATTACAGTGTTTCTTTATTTTTTCAAATTGAGTGTTCAATTGTAAGAATATATATATTGAAAATTTACATATTCTGTATTTATGGATAGAATCAGTTGAGTATGACCATGGCCAGATCTCTGAGACAACTCATTTAAAATCTGTTGGAATTCCAAGTATGTGATAGTTGTATTTATGGTTAAGAAATAAAAATATTCTAGAACCTCTGCGTTGTCTCGTGGGAGGTTCTAGACTGTACTGTCACATTAGGACAGTCATGAAACTTATTTTTATTTGTTATTATTGTTTCCAGACTTTAAAATTTTGTAGTATGATTTATCACATATTGGTAAGTTTGTAATTGTTGAATAACACATTGATCATTTTTATCTTCCATTTTAAGTTTCTAATTATGGATGATTGTAATACTTTTCATGTCTTTGGACATCTGGGTAAATACAGTACATTTTTGTGTCTGAAATGTGGAAGCTCAGAAAATAACTTGACATGTCTTCTGTGTGACAGGTTCTGCCAGCTCGGCAGGGGATGAATCAGGGAATGGAGGCAGCTTGTCAGATGTGGTGTCTGCTGATCCCTCTCCAGCTATCTCTATGGTGTCAAAACATTCCAATGGAACTTTGAATTTATGGCAGCTGACATTTGCAGACCAGACCAAGTTCTCACAGGTTCTGAGCATAGGACACTCATCTCGAGCGTCAGGACACCGCTTTCGGGTAAATGACATCACGTGTCATCCAGTTCTGCCACTCCTCCTCACAACATCTCATCACAACATAGCAGACTTCCCCTTATCACCACCAGGCAACATCGCAGTAGATGATTCTGTGAACCCCATGGTAAAAAACAAGGATATTGCTGTACCTACAGTGAGTATATGATGTTTTGTTATAATTAGTTTTATTCAGTTCTTTATATGATTTTGGAGAACATTTTTGTTGTTACAGGGTATAATGTTATCTGTCAGGTTGGAAGGCATGTCTGTAACATGGTTCTCAGATTTTTCTGTTTCATGACCTTAGTGTTTTCTGTTTTGGTGTTATGTAATCCGTTTGAAAGCATCTCTTCTTGCACTCAGTAACTCTTGTGAGGAAAATATTTCTTTTTTTTATTTTCTTGTACTATGTTTACATTGATCCAGTTTGTAGAAAGAGAGACAGCTGCCTGCAGCACAGCAGTGCACTAGGCAGTCCGAATACAAAATAACAATCTTGTATGTCTTATAATGTTTAGTTAAAGTATTAATTTATTGTATTACTATTTTGGATCTGTAGTTAAATTGAGCACTGCATACTAGGCAGAACTGTCCATTCCATACTCTGTGTGTTAACACAAGACTTTAATTTTGGTCAGATGTGCCATTACAAAAATGACTACTAATTTGAATTGAATTATAGCATATAATTTACACAATGACAAAGACAGCAGTTTTAAAAATGACTGAAAGTAAAATAAAAAGTGGCTAAAGTGTTTTAGTTTATATACTGACATTTTATTAGAATGTTGTTCTTTTCTACATATTATAAAATGTGTATCAAATAAGGTGAAAATATATTTTACACATTCTTCATTATTGTATTTGTTCAGGGTTTCTGCAGTGAATTAATTCTATGGCGAGTTGATGCAGTTGGTCCACTCTCTAAATCTGGAGGAGTGTCAGAGTTGGCCAGAATAAATTCTCTTGAAATATCAGCCTTTTCCAATGTTGCATGGATACCAACATTACTACCAAGGTTTGTATGTTAATCCATTAGGTTGTATACATGGAACTTGATTATGGCTTGATTATTGCAGTACTGACATACAAGGTGTTTTTGCTCTTCCACATCTGCATGTAGGCTATAAAAATATTGTTTCCAAATAATCTGAGAGGGAAGGAAGAACTTCCCATTGATAAGAAATACAAACAAATTTGTTTATTTCTTCTGCATCTGTGGTGGAATGAAGAGATTTTAGCATTTGAAAGTAGTCATCTTGTTACTAAAATACGGATATAAGTACAGAAAATTGAAATGTAGTTTGCATTCAATTTGACGGGTGCTAGTAAATTTTAACAGTTGCAGTAAAATTAATCGATTTTCTGAGACTCAGCCTGAAATGTGCATGAAAGTTGGATCCACAAGCTGAAAATAAAATTACAATGAAATATCTGTGTATTCTTGCAGCACTACATTAGGCAACCTTTCAAATTCCCCAAGTGCATGCTTTGTTGCATCAGATGGCAAGAGCTTGCGTGTTTACCAGGCTGTGATTGATGCTCGTACTCTACTTGCCGAAGTGTCCAGCTCAGAGCGCAGGAGTAGAATGATGGTAAGATACTGTGATGTCAGTCAGGAATGACTATGTGGGTTTTTGTTGAAACTGGATTTATTAATAGTTCTGTTTCACATTTAATTATTGCTCATATTCAACATTTATATTAGGCTACATATTTATTCTTTTGTTCAGTTTGTAATACAAAGTTAAGGTTCTCTGAATCTTTGTTATTCTTTCAGCAGTCAGATGCTGATAAAAAATTTCATAAATAGAGAATAAAGAAAACAATGTTTGAAATGTATGTTTATGTATTTCAGTGGACAGTGTATGTATTAGTTTACAAGTGGCTCATTTTTTTTTCTGGTAAGATGAGTAGGTAGGATTCAGTAAGTCTTAAATTGAAAAGGTACATCCACATGCTTATGTTGATGATAATAATAGTAAGGCATATGTGGTATATGCATGATATATTTCTATTATTTAAACTAAGAGCAGAATTGACAAAGTACACATGTGGAAACTGTGTGTATTTCAGTATGGGTTACGCTTCTCCAGGCTTCTTTTGATAATGTACTGTGTTAACAGCCATCAATTTTAGTACATTGGTAAAATAAGTGCAATACAATTTTTGCTGTTTTGTATAAACAAAACATCAATATTCTGAAATCTAGTAAACCATAAGTTGACTAGATAGCCAAGTTAGTGGCACAAGTCCTCAGACAGATTTAATTCATTGCTATGAAGTATAATTTAAAAATGTAAAGTTATTTTATTAAATTAATGTGACTCCTTACATTTTAGGCTGCAGATGAATTGTAGCAAAACTTACACACACACACACAATTTGTACTGTATATTAAAGTACCACAATGAGATTGTTGCAGTATTCCAAAGAAAATGCAAATGTGTGTCACTGGAAGATGACAAGTCACATGTTGAAACATGTAATGATGTAGATGGTGTACATGGTCATGTATATTGGCGTAGAAAATGTTTTGAAGGCTACTAGACATGAACACTGAACATTTGAACAGAATGTGTCATACAGATTACAATTTATATTGGTTTAGAGATTATATATTGTAGTGTGTATTGGCATGAAGTGGCTCCTGCTTCTAACCCAGCTATGAGTGGGTTAACTTTGGAATTAAGTGTGTTCATTTTTAATGTGAATAAATTTAGGAAGTTACGTTCAACTGGGAGTGTAGAACATATAATGCAAATGTGAAAAGCATACTCCTTAACTAATAGTAAGAGTGTTAGTAGAATAGCTAACAAGAAAAGAAAATGATATTGAATTTTGTGGGGAAGCTTGTGGCAGAAGGCCATTTGCTGGACCAAATTGCAGGTAATTGTTGAATTTGAAATTGAAGTAACTGAGATTGAATTCAGCTGACTGGTGTACATAGGCTCATGATACCAGGAAATTGTTCAGTAATTTAATTAGCTGGGCTGTTGACAAGTCATTCATATTTTTTGTACATAGGATTCAATGGTGAGCTTGTCGACTGATACCTCTTCTGATGATGGTATGAAACATTCATCTCTGCATGATAAGATAAAGATAGTATCACAGCAGTCCACTGCTAGGCCAGGCTGTGTTATTCAGCTGGATGCTATTTCTGATGCAACTCATGTAAGTTCAAGTTAATTTTGTACATTATCTTTCCGATAACAAAGCATAATTAGTATTCCCTTCATTGGGATGTTTGTGATAATAGAGCCTAAATATTAATATTCCGTTCATTAGGATGTTTTTACATTTATTATTGTCAGTTTTTGTTATCTGAGTTTTATCTCCACAACAAATATAAATTTTATTAACACTTTCTTTGTGCATACAGTTTTATCCCATGAAAATTATATTAAACAAATTATAATTAATGCTTACTGTGAATGATGAAAAATAAAATGTTTTACTTGACTGGCTTTACCTTCCTATTTCTTCTTATTCCTGAAAATATTAATGATTTACAATCACATAAGGTAATATCCAAAGCTGCAGTGAAGAAATAATTTGAATTAATTTGATGAATTAGTGGCTGTACTTTGCATAGTTTAAATTTGGGATTACGTTAACTAGTAGAAAATGATTGTTTTTATTTGAGAAAATACTTAAATATTGTTCCTCAAAAGCTGGTAAATAGATTACAGAAAATAATATAAGAGAGAGAACAAAACACTTGTTTTACAGTGTAAGGTTGTACAGTGATATAAGAGACTTTTGAATGTTTAATTCATGTTGACTTCTTATTTAGAGAATGTTATTATTTTCAGTGCATTTACTCCTAGCATGTGGTATAATGAGATACTATGAGTTGACTGAGACATATAATGTAATGTTGTAGGATTGGCAGAACACCCAGTTCCTACATGTGTTTCAAGAGCAGCTAATTACAGGAGAACGTGCAGAGGAGAAGGGTAGTGATGTACGTGATGTGGGCCAGGAGAGTGATGTTAGTTTGATGGAAACACAGCTAGGAGCAATGGTTGATCTCCAGCAGGCTTCAGTGTTTGAGGAACCATTCTACATTGTTGTGCTGGAAAGGACTAACAAGGGAACAGTTGTGCACATGTGGAGGCTTGTGATTGCCTCACAGCCAGAATCCACAGGTAATAACACTTGCTTTTTCAAAAACTGTTTGTTGCTCTTGTGTTTTACATCAGGAATTTAATTCAGATGTAGTCCAGGTTTTCACTGCAGTAAAAACTCATTACATTAAGTTTTAAATACCTAACAAATTTCATGGAACAGAGTTGTTCAGAAACTGATTGTCACTTATCTGGTCATCTAGAAACCTGCATTTTATGGAACCCAGATATATTTCCAAGATGCTGCCACTGGACCCTATTCTAAACCACATGAATTTAGTCCATACCATCACACCCTGTTCCTTTAAGATCCATTTTAATATTATATTATTATTTGGGCCCAAATCTCCCATATGGTCTCTTACCTTCACAATTTTTGGCCAGAATTTTATATGAATTTCTCCTCTTTACTCTTCTTGATTGATTTTCCTGATACTATTTGGTGAATAATCAAATTGTAAAGTTCTTCAGTATGTGCTTTCAACCACTTTTAACTGAAAGGTGTGAAAATAATTCATGCAGACCACACATACTTGACTTGAGTTACTGCAAGAGATAAACGTGTTGACTGTTTTGGAAAACAACTAGTTTCATAAGTTCATGAATCATGAACTACGGCAGTTGAAAAATGCACACAATTTGAAGTGGAATTGCAATTTTTAATGTAACAAAAAATCGGGGGGGTTTTTGTAGTGAAAACTAAATGTACTAAATTTATGGGCCCAACTTACATGTGATGGCAGCCTACAAACATATAAATGTGATAACTTGTTTATGGTTGATTTTTTCAGAGTATGCTGTAGAGAGTGACTGTAAATTATCTTTATAATTTTAAAAATATATTCTGTAAAAGGTAAGCTGTGCACAGTAATGACATGTGTAGGACATAATTTAAAGTCCAAAAATTCATGTTCGTCATTGCTTGCATGAAGAGCTACTGGATTTGCTGCAGTCACAGTAAAGAAAATGGTGATGCAAATGCAGAAAGCTAATTGCATATTCTGGTTGCATGAAACAAAATTAGTGACAGCAATGCAGAGATATTTTTGAAGAGAATTTGGGCTGAACCCATGTACCAGAACCTGCATTCATGCTTAGTACAAGCAATTTACACAGGATGGTTGTGTCTGCAAAGGCAAGATTGCAGGGCTCCCTGTTTTTATGAAGCAGCTGTGAGCAGAGTGCAACATATACTCATGTGGAGCCTGAAAAATTTTATAAGACATGCCAGCCAAGAACTTGTTATCCCTCAGCTGACATCATGAAAATTTATCAGCAATGCTTTAAAATTTCAGTGAATTTTACATTGTCATCGAGATGCTTTTGAATCAGTTGGCATGTAAATATTGTCTAATGTTTGGAATGAGTTTGATAATTGTTTTGATGTGTGTAGAATCAGTGTGACACTAAAAACTTGATAATTTCTATTTATGCTCTACACCAGTGGTCCCCAACGCGGTGCCCGCAGGCGCCCACCAAGGCTTTTTTGGGTGCCTGCATTGTTATGGAAAGAGGTTATACTGAATAATGAAGGCCGTGAACATTATAAAATCAAAGCACAGATCTCGACTTACTGATGCCCATCTTGGCGATTGTTTGCAAGCAGCAACATCATCCTACACTCCCAAATTTGAAAAACTGGCCATTGAAATGCAGTGCCAAACATCACACTAACTTCCCACTTGAGTAATAATAATAATTATACTTATAAAACTACGTATTTTTGATTGCATAGTTTCTTGTATCATTAAACGTCGAGTTGTTTTGTGTATTATTTGGTGTCTATATCTTATTTGTTTAGAGAAAAGAAAATTTGGCTTTGTTAATTGGTTGGTGCCCGCCACGATCTCATAAACTCTCAAATGTGCCCGTAGGCACAAAAATGTTGGGGACCACTGCTCTACACTATGTGTCATTGTGCAGAGCTTACTTATATATTATATACCCTGTGCTGATTTTAGAGTATATATTTAATTGAGTATAGCAGTTTTGTATTGAGTAAATGTTAAACTTTCTTTACAGAAATGACAGGCAGTATGATGTATGTGCCAGACAGTCAACTTGTGCAAGATGATGATGAGCCTGAACCAACTGGACGATCAGCTAGCACAGCAGATGCTGACCACATAGGCCATGATGAAAATCCAACAGCTGTCCAGACATCTCATGTTGTGATAACTACTACTAAGGTGAGCTGTCGGAGGAGAAGAGTGGGTCCTTCAGGAACTCTTTAAAAGGAAACAGCTTTCTCTCATTATTACAATCTAAACATTGTAATATCAACCATACCCTTCAGAAAGCTTGTATCCTCCACTCAGTTCTTTCCATAATTGGATACTGTCTACACATATATTCTGTGTTTCTTCCTTTTCTCCCACTCCTCCACTAAATTTTGCTGTTACCTATTCACAGAAATTTTTTAAGCTTCGCTCTACCATTCTCAGCTTCTTGGTACCTCATGAAATATGAACCATGATGGTTATCCTTATTAGAGTACTTTCTCATTTATATGGTAGATTTTGAAGGTAGGTTGTTTCTTGAAAGTAGGTTCTGAATCAGCTATCAGCTTCTTGTAGCCCCATAGGTGCATAATACTTGAATAGTAGAATAATAAAAATATTGATTTTAAATGCAGGGAGAAGTTAGTTTCTTTGTTGTGTTAAGGCTATATGAACCTTGAAGGAGCAGTAATTTAGATTTCATTGAGACATGGTTTCCAAGCAGTGTGTGATGAGAAGTGTAAGAGGAATCTACAAGAATGTTAAAAAGATGAAAGTGTACTTATAAGATAAATCAGTGCTTATGTAGTAAGTGATAGAACAGGATATGAAGGGATGGGGGTAATAGAAATAATGGTCAAGATCTGTTAGATGTGCATATGAGATATAGATGGGTTATGAGCAGTGGATGTTTTGAAGAGTCATTTTATTATTATTATTATTATTTATTTGACTGCAAATGGGTTTTTACCCGGTGGCAGTGGTCCTACAATAAGACACAAAACAATAAGACACAACAGAACAATGAGACAGAACAAAACAATAAGACACAACAAAACAGTAAGACAAAAAGACATAAGACACAACAAAAACAATGAGACACAACAAAACAATGAGCCAAAACAAAACAATAAGACACAAAAAAAAACATAAGGCACAACAAGAACAATAAGACACAACAAAACAACACACCACACTCAAAATAAAACACCTCATAATATTACAAAACCATATAACCTAAAGTACATAACTTAAAAATTCAACTAGATATAAGACAGTAACAGTAATGAATTACATACGTCATGAACTCATGCACTCACATTTCATCAGGACCTTCTCTTCACTTCACTACACTTATGAAGCCTTCCCATCCTCACCCCAATTCACCCCCCCTTCACTGCACCCACCAATGTATTCCCTTTACTTCACCTCATTTATCACTTTCCTAACCTTCTTCCTAAAAGTACTTGCACCTATAGCTTTCCATGCCCGATCTCCCGTGTACGCCTTGAAGAGAGCACATATTCGTGCTATCTTTCTACGCTGTGCCAGGGTTTCCCAGTTTGAATCGCTCCTATGATATGCAAATTTACCTGCTTTCTTTTGCACCCGTTCTAACGCATTTATCTGCCCCTCCATGTAAGGATCCCAGCACGCCGCCCCATATTCCAGAATCAGACGCACTAGTGATGTGTAGGCTAGACTTTTAGTGTTACTATTCCCCTTTTTGAGAACACGCATTGTAAAATGAAGTGCCTTCCAGGCTTTCTTTACCGTATAATTTACTTGATCAGCCCAGCTTAATTTAAGCTATAAGATAACTGGGTACAGTTCAGATGGAAAATTATGGCTTATAAATGATTATATAATTAGTTAAAAACATTTATAAGAGGTGTTAAGGTAATTGTACATCAGTGTTAATTTTTACATCAAAGATTAGGATATTTAAATTACAAAACAAGGCTCAATGTGACATAAAAAGAAAAATGCCAAAGAATGAAATAGGGTCAGTGGAAGCTGAGATGTTTAAGAATACAATAGTAAAAGGAATAAAGAAATGTACATGGGAGAACATCAATAAGAAGAATATATAAAGAAATATTTTGTTGGAATGACAGAATTACAGATGTAGCAAAGAAAAAAATGAGCCACAGAGAAATGGATTTAGAAATACGGGAGAAGAAAAGTGCAAAGATTGAAATAGTTGGAGAAAGTAGCAGGGAAAGCGATCACGTTTGTTTAAGGAGGAGTTGTAGGAAATATTTTGAATCATTAGAATAAAACTGTAAGACAGAAAATAAATAAGTCTGTAGAATTGTATGAAAGAAGAGGAATAAGACTGAAGAAGTTTGTGACATAATAGATGACTACAAAGGTAGAAATAAAGAAGATAAATTAAATGGAAAAATTATTTCTGAAAGCTATTAACATTTATGATCCAAAAGGTGAAACCTGTTTTAAATTTTTTTTTTGTACTATAAGATGCAGGTATGACCCTTTGTTTTATGGCAAAATAATCAGTCTGTGTTGCAGTTGATTAGGAAATGCTGATACAGTGTTTGACACAAATAAAAAAAATGGGCCACTGTAATTGGTATGACATTCAAATTAATATCAATTGTATTTACAGGTTGCTTGTAGATAATTTGATAAGTGCAATTTCATTTATACATAATAATATTTATGTAATTCTGTAGGCTTACAAAGAGGCAGATTTACAGCCAGATTAAGTTGCCCCATCATTGCAAAGGACATTGTGATGTAATTAAATTTTGTTGCTAAAATATCCTTGCTTTTGGACAAAAAGGACTTATGTCAAATCATGTGTGACTTAGCCCTTCTTACTGAACATACTATGGGGCTCACTTAGTCTTCTATCCTTTCGGGTGCCAGAGGCCCAGGTGAAGCAGAGCATGAAACTGCTCACTCACCTCCATCTAATGCTGAGGTTAAGATAGCATTATGTATTTACTCCATTCTTGCATTCCTTAATGATGCAGTGCTTAGACATAACATAGAGCAGGGGTTCTCACACTTTTTTGCTGGCATACCACTAATTTTAATTTAACACATTAAATGTACCACTAACCAAATGCGTTCAGGGAAAACTTATTTATGTTAACATTATCTTTTGATTTTCTTGCTTAGTTTGCGTGCCACTAGACATCAGCTCACATACCACCAGTGGTACGCATACCATAGGTTGAGAAATGCTGACATAGAGGCAACTTACCCTTTTGCTAGAGTCCCACATACTCTTTATACTATCTTGTGAATGTGGTTTATGCTCATTGTTTCACCTTTGTGTTTATCATGCCACTAATATTCGTATTTTCGTATCTTACTCCTGATAACTCTCTTCTGATTGGAACGTGCTATATAACTTCATGTTTGATTCCTGTAGAAAATAACCTCAGAAATTTGCCTGCAACAACATCTCTAACAAACAAAATGTTTATAGGTCTGTACCCAGGACCTTCCTCTGCCTGATGGAGTGGAAGTGGTCCATGCATCTCCTGCTGCTGGACATCTCAGCTCTGCTTCCATCTATCCAGCCTGCTTTGCTCCTTACATCATTGTAACAGCATGTTCAGATAGCACTGTTCGGTAAGCATGTTAATGTAATATCGGTAAACTGGAAAGAGACGCAGAAGTATTAATACTCCTATCTGAATTACCTTGTTTCTTTAGTGCTAAGAAATCAGTTGATTGTTACCCTCTGATTTGGTTCCAGTTTTACAATGTTTCTTTGTGATACACAATTTTATTTTTCACATTATTTAACCCTTTGAAACTGAAAACAGCTTGCTGGAATAAAAGGAAAATACTTCACCATTACAAAAATCAACTGATTAATGCTGTTTAAGGGTTTGAGGAAATAATAACTGTTTGGACTGTGAATCAAATGAACCCATCATCATCATCATCTTCCTTTCATAGATTAAGAAAATTGCCTGTTCCAGCCTCTAATTTGTTATGTCTCCTTGTCTGCCAGATGGACAGTAGGTTCAGGCTTGTAATGGAAAAGAGTCTGTTTCGTCTTTTGCAAATGTATTTTCCGTTTATCTCTATATTCTGTAATTTTTTCAAATAAAGGGAAAGTATCTAACTGTTTTTGTATGTCATCATTTCTTAACTGATCTGTCGTAGTGCAACCTTTGACAGTTCTTCGGTATTTCATTTCTGGTGCTTGAATTCTATTTCAATCTCTCTTCTTCAGCATCCATGTTTTGCTACCATATAAAAGCAGTGGCACTGCCATAACCTTATAAAAGTTTAAATTCGTCCCTTTCCAATTTGTTCTTTTTAACATTCTTGAAATTACCCCACATATGCTTTGAAATTGGTTTATTTTATAATCCAAATATTCATCATAATTGTGTGTAACATTATATTTCAAGGAAGAGGTAAAATTTTATTATTTGAAATAGGCAGACTGAGGGTGAAACAATTGAAATAAATAAAATATAAAAATATTTTGTAATATCTCTAGGTAGGACTAATAAACTGGTACGTGGAAAGTTTTAGCATGACCATATACTGTATGTTGGGATCAGTAATGCTAATGTAGAATATAACATTAAGTAACTCTTATGTAAACAGCTTTAGAGAATATTGCATTTTGCAGATTTTTGCTACTGTTATTTCAGGTTTTGGAAGTGCAAGTATATGAAGTCAGGTGAAAAGAAGAAAACTTATGAATGGTGTGAATGGGAGATGATTAGGAAAGATCCCGAGTCCACCATTGACATTTCAGGTTAATACTTTTTTATTTCATGTATGTTTCCAATTTTGGAATTGAATATATTTACTATTTCTCATTTGCTTTGTTAAGAAATCAGAGAATTTTTGATGCATGTAACATGATCATTTTTGTGTCACACTTCCAGAAGATATAATATATATTTTGGCTTGCAGGTCAACCACTCAATGTCAGTGCTGCATACAGTGGACGGATAGCCTGTGCATACAAGTATGGAAGATCTTTCACAAGGCCTTCCAAGAATGATCCAGATTCACGATATGTCAACTTGTGTGTTGCTATCTATGAATGTGAAAGTACTGGAGGTGAGAAACTGTGAAATTATAGATAGAAGAATTTATGTGCTGTCTTCATTATTCAGTAATACGAGGTCCGTCCAAAAAGTATCCGACCTTGGGCCGGGAAAACAAAGTTCTGTATCTGGGGGGTTACAATACCTAATCCCCTTCAAAGTAGGCCCCTTGTGACTCCACACACTTAGCCCAGCGGTCCTTCCATTGCTGGAAGCAATTCTGGAAGGCTTGTTTTGGAATGGTGTGCAGCTGCGCCGTTGCGTTCTGTATGATGTCCTCGCGGCTGTCAAAACAGGAGCCTTTTAGCGGTGTCTTCATTCTCGGGAACAGCCAGAAATCACAAGGAGCCATGTCAAGAGAGTAGGGAGCCTGGCGAACCTGCGGAATGCCGTGCTTGACCAGGACACCTGGATCAGGTATGATGAATGAGCTGGGGCGTTGTCATGATGAGCTGCCAGTTGTGTGTGTCCCACAGCTCCGGTCTCTTGCGCCGAACTGCATCACGAAGATGACGGAAGACTTCTTGGTAGTACTCCTTATTGGCAGTTTGGCCTATTGGTGCACAACACCCCAGTAATTGAAAAAAACAGTCAGTATCACCTTCACATTGCTCCGAACCTGTCGTGCTTTTTTGGGCCTCAGGGATGCTGGATGCTTCCATTGTGACGTCTGGACCTTGGTTTCCAGGTCATATCTATACAGCCACGACTCGTCACCAGTTAACACAGTCTTCAGGAACTCAGGATCCCTGTTGGCGCACTCCAGCATGTCCTGCGCGACCTCAAGGCGGAGTTGTTGCTGCTCCGGCGAAAGCAGCTTGGGCACAAATTTTGCCGCCACTCTTCGCATGCCCAAATCCTCAGTTAAAATCGTGTTTGTGGAACCTCTGCTGATCCCAACCTTATCAGCAATTTCCCAGACTGTCAAACGATGGTCCTCCATGATCAATGTCCATACTTTGTCAATGACATCAGCATTTCGGCTTGTTGATGGTCTCCCGGAACGCTGGTCACTGTCCGCCGAAAATGCGGCCATCTTTAAAGCGGTTGAACTACTCTTTAATTTGAGTGACCCCCATTGCATCATCGCCGGAAGCCTGCTGAATTTTGTGGATTGTTTCAGCTTGGGTATCCCCAAGTTTCTGACAAAACTTGATGCAGTATCGCTGCTCCAAGCGTTCCGTCATCTTGAGCGAAACGAGAATGCGACGAACACGTGTTACACCACTTCGCTATCTGGCAGCGACAGACGCATCCGGCAGTGCTGCGAGGAAGCAGAAAATCACGCATGCGCATGAAAGTCCCTTCTTCCACTAAGCTCAGTTTCCCCACCCTTTCGCCATTACTTACCACGGAAAAAAATACAGTCGGATACTTTTTGGACAGACCTCGTATGTTTTACTACATAATTTATGTCATCATATAATGTGTGCACCATTATTTTTTGTTGTGAAATAAAAAACTCTATGACATTTCAGGTTCTTATGGTAGTGAAAATGAAGATCGCTGTCTTCTGGGTGTTTTTACCATGTAGTCTGGTAGAACTTCATTTCATAGGTGCTTTATGCTTCCATCATCAAGGTCATGAGTTGCCTCAAGTATCTCTGAAACATCAGTAAACTTCTACCAGTCTACATGGCACAATGATCTAGAAGACACTGCTTTTTAAATTGAAGGTGGCATGAGTTTTTATAATGAAATTTTTTTAGCGTTTGGCTCTGGTTAATTGATGCATGTAGTAGATTGGTTGTTTCACTGAACTGTACTGCAATTATGATAAAGGATAGAGGTAAAGTTGTCTCGGTACCTAAGGACCATGCTGTGAAGACATCTGGGGAGTAGAAGTAAAGCGCTGTGCATTATTAACCATAGCACAAGTTAGAGGTTGAGTGGTCGTGTTCTGGTTACTGTGCCCATAAAAAAAGGTACCCAGTACTCATTTTAGATAGGTTCTGCCTTATGCATCAGAGCAGTATGTCTGGACATGACAGTAAAGTGAAAAATTGTTTCTATTGCTGGAAATCAAATTCTAGTTGTCCAGCCTGTAACCATCCATACAGCCCATATCAGGCCTTGGCCTCCTCAATTTTCTGTCTCCATGAAGATCCATTCCAGCCTGTAGCCAGCCAGTTTAGTAATTGAGCTAATCTGGTTGACATTGCAGTTATGATGTCATAAAAAATAATTTACAGTCACAAAGGAGCTGTGATTGTTATTCTTGAACATGACTGGTCAGATTTAAAATGCTGTAATACCATGATACTTGCATATCTTCAGAAATGATGCATAACTATTGATATCCATCTTATTTATGTTACTGCATATTGCGCATGAGGAGCAGTAAGTGGATTTGAAGAGGGCATATTTTTTGTGAGTGAATTAGATAGCAGATCATGTGTAAGCAGAGTATGGTAAAAGAGTGACCTTTGTTAAAGGTATCATTGAAAGTAATGAATTTAGATTATTTGAACAGAATAATTTCCATAATAAGGGAAGAGAAGAACTTTGAAAGTGTAAGAGAAATATGCGAATTAAATTAATGGGCAAATAGTAAAGTGAATTTTATAAGTGTAATAGAATCATTATGTACATTTCTTCAGGGTCAGAATGGGTTCTGGAGGACACAATTCACCTAAAAAACATCCACTTACCTCGAATTCAAGTAGATCCACACCTGGACCTGAGCTATTTGTATGACAGTCGGTTCCTACAAAAGAAGCAGCGTCTCAGTCACATTTTGCAAACATTCTCATCAGAAGATGTTCGTAGTCCACTGAAGAATGGAGATCAGAATGATCACACCAACCTACATAAGACATCTGGTGGTATGTATTTGTAGAACCAGCATTGTTTTCTGACAAGTCTTATGCATACAGGCATGGACAACATTCAGAATAAAATACTAACTAATCAATGGTATTGTTGGAAGGATGTCTGGGAAATTACAGTTTGTAGCGTATGTAGACCATGCTGTATAAGTAGGATGTTTAGTCACTAAAAAGTGTTGCTCTGATTTTCTTCAGTTCTTTAGAAGATGCATGTGTGGCTTGTACCCAGGTTATATTATATTTACAAGATGTGATTGATTGAATATAGTAATAATTGTAAATTTATAAGAAGAAAAACAGAAAACAGAGTATGAAGTGAAGCTTTTGTAGTGACTGAAGTTGATGAAAGATTCTCAGGCACCAAGCCACATCAGGTGGCTGAACGGTGAACAAATCATATCTTCTGCCAACGTTTCAAGAACAATCTCTGTTCTCATCCTCAGGGCTGCTGGGTAACCAGTCTGTTCCTTTGCGTGCTAGCAGACGGGAACTGGCACGCAACAAATGTATGGACTGGTTACCCTGCAGCCCTGAGGATGAGAACAGAGATTGTTCTTGAAACGTTGGCAGAAGATATGATTTGTTCACCGTTCAGCTACCTGATGCTGCTTGTAGCCCGAGAATCTTTCATCAGAAAACAGTGTGCTTGAAAAAATCAGTGAATGGGTGAAGAAAGAAGCAATATGTTTTGTCCTTCAACTTTAATGAATGCATGTATGAAACATGATGCAAAAGGTATTTTATGCAACTATCCCTGTTTTCTTTCTAGGTTTGTTGGCAGTCCCTAGCTTTAGTACTCTGCAGTCACTTCGTAAATCTATCATTGAATGTGGTAACACTTGTCCATTGACTCAGAAACACCTTGTTCAACTTGACTGGGTATCCAAAGAAGATGGTTCTCATATTCTTACTGTAGGAGTTGGCAGCAAGGTAATAAATTGGTCATTAAGCCCTTCACAATTAAAGATACATTGTAAAAACCTCCACATTAAAGAAAAACTGATTCTTTGGAGTGATAAGTACAGAATTTGCCATTTAATTAAATTAATACAACATATCATTCCATGTAAGTTCCTACAGTGTAAGACTAATCTTGAGACTAGTGGGGTAAAGGAGGGAGGAGGAAAGATAGTGTCAGCCTTTAATGCTTCGGACCTCCTGCATTCCTTGCAAGTCTCAAGATTACAGTCGCGTACTATAAAGGACTTTCAACAAAAAGTTTAAATTTAACATTCAACTTAAATTCTTATTTTTCTTTGCTTTGTCACTAGTGTCTTATTACTTCTAGGATACATTTAGCATAATTTTGAGACATGTATAATGGCATGCTTCATGGTTTCATGACTGTCGCCTTGTTTCTTTGTTTTCATAAAAAGTCAAAATACTAATAAGGTATGCTCATACATGGTAGGTGAAGTCAGTAGGGTTCATTTTTGTGGGGGAAGGGGGTTCCTATGAAGAATCAGCGGTTGTACCTCTTGAACAAGTAAGATTTTTGGTTGGAAAGTGTGATTTGTTAACAGTAATAGGTGTATGTGGCCACCTGTTAGAGAGAGTGCTATTTGATTTATCCAAATACCAGCTTCTGTTGCTGCCATTATTATTTTTCCATGTTAGGAGAAGAGTTATTGCTTTGGCCTCATATTTTATGAATAAGATGTAAAGTATAATGTGTTGGTGTTTCTGTTTTAGATTTCTATTTTTGACGTAAATACGTCTATATTTTAGGGTCAGTGTCATTCGGCAAAAATATGTTACGAAAAAGGGAAACGAAAAAGTGTAACTTCATTGTTATGTTACTTAGGAAACCTCATCTGTTTACTCAGCATTGTTGTTACCTAGGAAACATTACATTACCTTACCTTACATTAAATTACATTACTTTACATTACATTCTGCTACCACAGACCCATTTTAAGCGTAACTAATTGAAGTTGAATAATCAATGTCTTAATCAAACTTATCTCAATTGTAAAGCATGTATAAAGGAAATATTTAGAATAATGCCAATATATAAACTTCCTTTCCGTATAGACGTATTTACGTCGAATTCTCCGGAACCATGGTTCCACTATCACTTTTTCAGCCCCCATTTTCTGTGGCAGAGAGGTTATAAATGAGTAATGTTTATAAAAGTTTATAGATTTGATTCAGTAATATGTTTTGAACATGTTCTGCAGGTGATGCTCTTCACACCTGTATCAAGTGACCTAGCACAGGCCAATATGAAAGCCATGAAGGAATCCCAGTCTGCAAATCGTCCTATTCTCAGGAAAGCCTCTTCCTTAGCGGCCCCGCAGTTTGTTGATGAAATCAGGTATTATTTATATTATTGCGAAGTTATGGCAGGATAGTTGTGTTCTATCATGTTACAAGTAATTCTTTTCTGTTGCAGATGGATGAAGCTACGTAAAATAGACTTGATTACAGCAGATGGCCTTCCTCCACTGCCCATGCAGATCTCATGGGTTCGTGATGGAATACTTGTTGTAGGGATGGACAGTGAAATGCATGTATACTCTCAGTGGAAGCCAAACTGTAAGTAGCTGTTACTAATACGTGTACTTAAATATATTTTGTTAATGTATGAATGAGGAAACTTACTATTGATGTATTATGCTCTCATGCATTGGATGTAGAACTCCTAAAATGTTTCTGTACAAGATATGATGAGTTACAGTTCTTACTCTCTTTTCTACTGCTCATTTTCATATACCCTTAATTTTATGTTTTTTGCATAATCTTTGATATGTTACTGAATTTTAAAATAGATTGCATGTGTGTGTGTTTCCTCATGTTTCATGATACACATTGAAGAGTTTCTTCAGTTCCTTTGATCTGTGTTGGTTGTTATTGTACATGTTTTCCTTCAAAAACCACAAAGATAGAGATCCATTGGTGATAGATCTGGGGATTGAGGGGGCCACAAGTTTTGAGAAATAATATGGCTACAAAGGAAGTCGCTCAACATTTGTATTGTTGAATTTACTGTATGCTTTGTAGCCGCATCTTGCTGAAACCAACAATCTTGCTTATCATCTTTCAAAAGGGAAATGAAATTCATAATCAGTTCCTGGTAATGTTCAGCTTATATTTTTTCACTGAAGAAAATAGTACCAATTATCCTCTGTTGAGAGACAGCACACCATACTCTGATTTTAAGGAGTGAAATGGTCTTTCATGGAAGGTACGCAGATTTTTATTACTTCTTATTCTGGTGTTTTGGCTATTAATGTATCCATTCAGGTGGAACCATTTTTCATCACGAAAGAAAACTTTATCAAAAATTGTATCCCCTCATATGAAGTGTGCAAAACCTTCTGCAGTACTGAAACCATTTTTTCTTATCAGTTTCCTTGAGTTTGTACATGGCATGTGTATGATGTGGATGAAGTTTTAAAATACTTATAGCCTTATGTAC